CTTGCAATCCCGGGAACTGTATATAAAAACTTGCCAAATTCATTTCACATAGGCATCCCGACAGCCAATATTGAGCAGAGTCTCCAACCCACCCACCAGTCTGGGCATGGATTTCAACCCAGGTCATGCAAGTAAACAGCTATTGTCTAGCCCCTGCAATCTACGCAGTTCCCACATACTATTTACTTTTAACATAAATTTAACTGATGTTTTCCTGGCCAACGAGGCCCAGTTTCCTGTCCAAATACCAAAGCCCACATCCACTCCAATTTACAGGATTAGTTGTTTAGCAAGAGGAGCATATGTCTATGTAACTATTTTTTTTGGACTGTAACCTCAAAGATTTGTAGAATTATCATATGGTCTTTGTTGTTGTCTGTATTTAATTTGAAAATGTCTTACATCCTTTGGACAGGTTCCAATACATTTTTTGCCTAGTTTCAGAGTTGTGAAACAGTAATAACAATTTGCACTTTTGTACTGTAGCACCTTTTACGCAGGAAGAACTTCTCAAACCTCTTCACAAAGATCTGGGGAGTGGGAGCCCAAGCTGGGAGAGGAAGATCGGGGGCAAGTGGGGAGTTGGCCATAAGCCTTATTCAGAAAAATAGCTTTTCTGACTGGTTTTGGAAGAGTGGTAAGGAACAAAATGCTGCGGTTTCAGAAGTGAGTTCTGGAGGGTAGGACCATAATGGAGGAAAACTCACCCTTGTAGGGCAGAGTTGGCAGAGTGGGATCTCAGGAAAGTATCGAGGAAGGGTGGAGGTCAGGGAAGGACCTTAAATTTGTTTCGTTGGGGAGGAGTGAAAGGAATAGAAAGCCAGTGGAGCCGAGTGAGGATGAAAGTGATGGACTTGTGGAGCCGAGTGTGTGAGAGGTTCCTGACCTCAGAGCTGAGGTGGGTTAAACAAATGTGTACAAAAATAATAAAATAATGTCCTCCCCCTTAAAAAATACCTTCCGTTGTAACAGTTCACATGCAATTTTTTTTGAAGGATTTTTTTGTAAAGCACTGATGATAAATAATTTTTAAAAAAATCTCATCAGCAAAAAAAGATTCCTCCCCGGCCATATATCAGAAAGGCCTGAGGCCATATCAAAACAGCAGTAGAGACATAGAGATCACTATTATGAGGCACTAAATGGTAGAGCTACTATGGAATTATTAAAATAATTTATTATTCTGCAGCGTATAGCTTCATAAGAATTAAATCTAAACTATTCCTCATGGCTCAACTCCAATAGTGTGCAAAGGATACAGGAGAAGAAAGAATGGCAATTGTTAATCCAAGGATGAAACTGCAAATAAGTTCCTAAAACACTTGGGTACAAAAGATTAACAACTGATAGTGGGGTATGATTTCTGATATTCACAAGCAAGGTTTGATGCATGATTTGCCACTTCCTGATGCGAATAATAATACAATAATAATCTAATATACCACCTTATCACTTCGTTGAGATGTCTCAAAGTGCTTCACAGAATATATTGTGAAGTGGTTTTGACTGTATATTTTGTGGGCGAATGTAAAAATTGTGATATTGCCAAAACTTCTATTTGCAAAAGTTGACAAAGTGCAAAAAGCAAAAGGCTGGGGAGGAAAGAGTTGCCCATTGCAGTGCTTTACCGGGAAGTCAAGTGGGATAAACATGCCGTAGTACAGTGACGGATGATGTGCAAATACACCCAGTGCTCAGCTACTGTCAGTGCAAATTGTTAATGTTGCTTCATCCAGTGTCGAGAGGAGCTTTTCCCTCTTTGTTTAGGAATCAAAGAGTTTAGATGGGATTGTGTTCTTACAGTTCTGGAAAACATACAAAAATATTTTTTTGTGTTCATCAGTGCGATGTCTGAATGGCTGATCAAGGTCTGAGAACCTGTTGTGTTGGGTTATAAAGCATGCTTACAGGCCCTGCATCTCGAAGTAACATGAATTGAAAATTGGATGGTTTTCTTGGTGCTGAATTTAACAGCAACCTTTTTTGGAGTGAATATCTCATATTAATGAGTCTGGTGCTGGAAATTTCATTAATATAATTTCACATATGCGATAATAAAAAAACGCATTTGATTTAGCGACATCACATTGTCTAACATCTCAAAGCACTGATATATACCACCTTATCACTTCGTTGAGATGTCTCAAAGTGCTTCACAGAATATATTGTGAAGTGGTTTTGACTGTATATTTTGTGGGCGAATGTAAAAATTGTGATATTGCCAAAACTTCTATTTGCAAAAGTTGACAAAGTGCAAAATGCAAAAGGCTGGGGAGGAAAGAGTTGCCCATTGCAGTGCTTTACCGAGAAGTCAAGGGGGATAAACATGCCGTAGTATAGTGACAGATGATGTGCAAATACACCCATAGTCTCTAGCTGTTAAAGCTGTGAACTGAAGAACAAATGTGCATATTACGATACATCTTGGGTATCTCCACAATGTTCTAGTCGCTAAGGGCACTGTTTTTTTTGCTCTTGGACTCATATTAGACATGCGGCACTAATGCAAAAATCGTCTGAGGTGCATCTCCCAGCGTTCTTATCTGTTATTTCAGTAACTGAGATGGTGTAAATGAATTTCGAATGGTTTTGCACACAAGTGAGGAGACCTGACATCATGGCGCCACTTACCAGAGGACGGCATTTAGAAAGTGTCAATTTTTCAAATAAGCGACATTGCAATTCCTGAGAGAAGATGAACTCAACAGAAAATTGGAATGCAGCAGCATTTCTAGCTTGGTGTTGCGTTGGAAATCTTCTGATCTGCAAAGTGAAAGTGGCATTAGACTTTGCAAATGTTGTGTGGATTCCTGCTTTAAATTTAAAAGGATGAAAACAACGCTTTCACCCACATACATCTCGAAGACATGATAAGGGGCTATACCAAATGCAAGGATTATTATTACTATTGTAGTATGATTGAGATTATGTTCCCTGATCTGGATGAGGGATGGAAATGATAGAGGTCTAGTCCAGCTGAGATATCATGCTGACAAACTTGAAACCACACTTAACCAAATTGATTTTTGTTGGAGGCGTTTTCTTCAGTACAGTAGGCAACATTGAGGAAGATAGATAATTATTTGATTCATCTATTTGAAGAATTACAAATTCAATAATGTGATGTCTGTTTTGTCTTCCGCATATCACTCTGAGACACAGTCTCTTAACAAGTTTCCCAACACCTTCACTCTTAAAAAACAATGTGAAACATGTCAGCATGGACGATTTGGTTATCCCTGTAGAAATGTGGAACATCTTTACATCAGCTGCATTAGGCAATAGCTGTTCACCCTGCAGTTGATTACTTCTTGTATTGTTCTCTGAAGCAAGCTACAGTATTTAAATTGGATCTGCACTGCAAGCATTTAAATGTTGGTCAAGGCTTGCACAGCATGACAAATGACTGGCTGACATGAAAGCTAAATAATTTGTTGCCAAAGTAATTTACTCAAACTAATCTTCGAGCAAAACTTTCTCACCACGCAAGTTCAACAAAAAGTAATCACCACCCTCCTTTGCAAACCCTTCCAAACCTGAAGTGGCACTTGATACAATACCACAGAGGAGTAATAGCGAACAGAGATGCTCCAGGATCCATGCAGTGTTTAAACCTCAGAATAGATACTAAGGATCTGTTATGAGGTTTAATCATTGCATGAATGCTTAGCATTTACAATATGCATGTTTGTGTACATTTGTTCTTCACATGCGGTTCCCAGCTGTAACTGCTAGCAGGCAATGTACCAATTTTTGTTCGGCTTTGAACAGAATGATTTATCTTCTGGTCCTTTGAAGATCTTTGTCATACTGGGAAGCAAAAACACAATTTACAATGTTATTTTCTACGACTCAGTGTGGGGGTTATTCTGCTCTGTGCACACCTTCATGTACAGAATTGGTTTAGTCTCTCAACAGGATTTTATAACAACAAATCCATCTAGAAATACCCACTCCATCTAAAAACAGATTGAAGTGCAGTGCTTCCAGTTTACACAAACACATCCCCATTTGCAAGGATCAGATTTCTTATATAGTAATCCCGTTAAGATATTCCTCAAATCAGATCCCATTGATTCTGCTATTTTTTGATAACCTATTTTGTTTGAGAAACACACTACAATTTTAAATATATAACGTAATTGTTAACCTCTAATGTCCAGACATTGAAACTTCCATGCGTAGGTGGCATGCACGGAACTCTCAGGTTGGTTTGGATACTTTGAAGCATGGTAAATGGTTTCCGCATTTGTCAAGACATCTGGCTGACCCTCTACCCCCCCACAATGTCACGGAACAGTACTTATCATTTAAAATTGCATCATACTTCACCTGCAGAATACACAGGTGGCGCTTTGAGACATCCTCCTGATGTGAATGGTGCTATGTCAATTGCAAGGATTAATATTATTTTATTTATTTACGAGAGCACAGGGACAAATCTAGTAAACATACCGAGCAAAGGGGAACAGCGCTCACCGAGACATCAAGAATGCATTACAAGCAACCCTGAAGAGCCTGTAATATTTTGATTTTATACTAAAGACCACACTTTAATATTCAAATTTCACGGTGCCTTAATGTTTGCATTTTATCAAAACCCACTGATGTGTATGCAGTCCTGTATCAGCTTCCCGCAGACATGTCTATTCCACCTCTTTCCAGTGGCACAACACGTCTTAATTTTAAACCTTTAAGCTTGTGCTCTAATCAGATGGCAGTCTCTCATAAGAGGATTCTTCCAATTGGCATACGTGTTGCCTGACTGGTGTAGAGGTTGATGGGAAAGCTGGTTCTGAATGAATATTAAGAGAATAAGCGTTGACAGATTGGTGTCAGGGAGGCTAGGATGTAAGCGAGCACACCCAGGCTGCATCTGTTCTGGATCTGCACTCGATTGCCATTTCTCCCTCAAAAGAGAGGATGAAGAGCACAATTAAACTTTAATTGCAGCCTGTAAATGCACGCAATTAAAATGACAAGACTGACACTGAACTGAGTAAGCTTGAAATATCTTTACTACTCGGCCACAACATCAGAAAGAATTGTGGCCATTCCCTGCGTTTCACAATAACTGAAAGGATTACTCAATTTTCTTTTTGAGGTGGTGGTAATGGGGGATGGGGGAAATCTACACAAAATAACTGAAAACCACAGCCAAAGGACAATCTACGTCCAATACAATTTTTTGCTCATTGTCTTTTCCAGACTGCCAAATAAACAGAGTAATCATTGAGACTGTCAATGAGTCCAAAAGACACTTATTTTTGATCTGATGAACCTAAACTGTTCCACACAGAGCTTTGGGCTTCGATTTCCCCCTCACGCCCCTTCCTCCCGTTCTGAATTTGCAGCTCTAACAGAGCAGGGATCCTGGTGTCTTTCCTCATGGAGTGCTTTCTGCATCATTCATCTTTGGCACTGGGTTTTTCAGCATTTGCGTCCAAAACACAGATAAGCTTTTTCAATAAAGCAGCGCTCATGCGATTAGAGCTGTCCAGCAGGGCTTGAACACCAGCATGATCCCACCCGGCTGGGGAGAGATGCTTCTCAATATCGGGTGGTGAAGTGCTTGAACTCCAGTTTGGAAATCTCCTTCTCATTCGAGAAGTTTGCCCGATCGATGCGAGAACTCGGACTGCCCACTTTACTTAGCCAGTTCTTCCTGCGGAGGAAAGCAAAACAATTGTTTTATATAATGCTTCTTCTTCCCAATTCACTTCTCGCTTCTTTAAGTCCTTTTGTAAGTGCTAAACTGTGGCCAGGCAGGCACAGAGCTCCCAGGTCTCCTGGGAGTGCGGTTGTTGTAAACAGCCACTAGAAGGTGAACAAGACCAGCAAGCTGCCTTGCCTTCTGATTTTCTCTTGATCCTCAACGCTTGGACAACCAGCTCCCTCACACTTTACTCTGCTGCAGCCTTTTTGTTATGACACTGAATAGTTCAAGTGACCAATACGGAATGCTGGAAGTGTTCATTTGAGAACTAATGTTCAGTCCCACAGAGTGGTGTGACGGAGATTCCATTTCCCACTTTTTAACCGTAGCTTTGCCTTCAGCCACTACGCCCCGAGGCTCTGGAACTCCCTTCCTCACTCCCTTCATCTCGCTCCCTCCCTTCCCATTTTCAGTTCTCTGCTGAAGACCTTTCGTTTTGAGCGCGCCCTTGGTCACCTTCCTCCCCCTCCCCCTGGCTCGGCCCCGGGATCCGTTACTGTGAAGCGCTCTGAAACGCCGTCCAGCGTGGACGGCGCTATATAAATCCAAGTTGTTGTTATTAGTGTTGGGAGGTGACCCACAGGGAATGGAGGATGAGAAGAATCAAACTGAGAGGCGTAACCAAGTCGCAAGTTGGCTCGAAACTGCGATTGGCAGTCACGGATTCCTGGAGGCAGGTTGCTAGAATTGTCCATGAGATATTTCCTACAACTCAAAATGTTATTTGTTTTTCTCTCAAACAGAGGGATGTCTATATTGCTGATAAATCCATTCCTTTTTCCCATGCATTGGAGGTAGCTACATATCAGAAGTGTGGTGAATCAGAAATCTGGTCGTAACAGTATTAATGGCTACAGTGAAGTAGACGATTAAAAGTTTTTTACACTGTGTGCAAAACAAGATTGCTTTTATCACCTTGTGTTATGTTATGTATACACACTGTTCAAGTTTCACCTTTAACCACATTAGTTATGGCTGCTGCCATCATTACTTTAATTATATAATAGTACTTCCACTTAGACAACTAAAATAATGTGCCGCGGATGGGGAGAGGAAACCATGGAAAAACTTTGGGGCCAAGAATAACAATACTCCCTGATCTGATAGAAGCAAAAATAATACTGCAGAGTCATAATGTCTCGCACAGTAAATCTAACTGGAAGCGTTTGCAGATTTGTTGATTTATGCAATATGGTTGTACAGAATACAAAGGAGAAGTTCACTGAAAAAAATGTTGTGAGAGTCAACAAACTGAGGCTATCGTTCCCTCTCCAGAATGCCAGTGAATGCTAGTTTATAATGCTGTTATTTTTGAACTAAGTACACCTCTTGTCTATTTTTTGCCCCTTTGTATGCAGTTAAGGTATAATAGTTTTTCCTGTCAAATGTTGTCATCTCGTTTAACTTTGTTCAGTTTGTATATTTGTGAAGTTTTAAATATAAGGCTTTTTAAAATTATTCTCCATTTTCAGATGTTCCAAGACTTTTACGTCATCAGTGGATTTATAGAACCAACTCTCAACAAAAGTGGTTGATGCTGTTTGAATTAACTCCTTTAAAAAAAAACTGGATAAGTATCTGTTCTGACAAAGGGTCATGGACCCAAAACATTGATTCACTTTTCTTTCTCCATAGATGCTGCCTGACCTGCTGAGTGTTCCCAGCGACTTCTGTTTTTGTTTTCATACTGTAAAGTGTATTGACTATGTATTTTATGGGCAAAACGCAGCAGCCAATTGCGCACATCAGTGTCTCACAAACAATCATGGATTCAGTGACCAAATTATTATTTTTTTTTGAAGGGATTATTACCCCCGGAAAAGCGATCCATCAATCAACTAACATTCTTCTTCTTTAGTATGTGTAGTGATTGCCAGAGTTGACGGGTCACATTAATATTGTACATCCTTCAGTTACTGAAACGCTTATTATCTTTATCTCTGACTCTAAAGCAACACGACACAAAAGTATGAACACCTTGGTACTAATTTCTAAAAGTCTGGCAGAATCTAGCAGCCCCATATTCACTTCCGCAATAGAGCTCGATGCGGATAAGAGGACATGCAGATAGATGGTGTGTGGATAAGTGGGATTCTGATGAATGCCTGATTGATAAAACTCTGTAATCACAGCCTTAATGATGATACAGCTGGCTGCACTTAAATATTGGATGGCAATCCATACACTTACAGGAATGTTTGATTATAATAAGGAAAATGGAATAACCAGTGAAATGGATGCCTGGTCTTTCACAGTTTAATGCATGAAGTACTGTGAGAAATCAATTTGTATTGATAGTTTTCTGATCCTGCAGCAGTTTTAGCTGCAGTTCATGTCATTACTGTTTTAATTTGTTCAACATCCTTTAACTGTTAGCGACTGTAACATATAATGAGATTCAAGGGAAAGGAGAAATAATTGGTTAGTTAGATTTGACGTCAAAGCAAATATTTAATTTTACTAGTACAGGATACAGCCCAAAAAAACAACTGACAGGCACACTAAACAGCTACACTAAAATGTAAGAATGTAGAAATTTCTTAGGCATTTTTGTCCATCAATGAAGTGTTTCATTTTATTTGTGCTTTGGCCCCTTTTTTCATGTGCTTTTCTTCCCGTGCAATGCAGCATTTCCTAGCCAAACCTTCAAACAAACCATTGGTTCGTAGGTCATTTTCAATGGAACCTGTGAGCTCAGCACTGGGCGAAGATTCATCTGAGCTGGCTGTCCCTCTGATTCCTCCCTTTTGGGAAGCACCCAACCTACCGATGTGAATGACATTTAGAAATGCAGTGAGTGGGAAGCAAACTTTGGCATCTGATCACTTGGGTGCAGCAGCCTTTATTGTTCCTAATAGGAAACAACCCACCATGAAATACTGTTCAAGAAACTACAAGCAGTTAAGAGTCATAGGGGTCTATTGTGCACCATGTGTAAACCACGTGTGAATGGATGTGCATTACTTGAATCTCAGTTCAGGGATGTTACAGAAACCCTCCCTGGGCTGAGGGTATTCTGGGCACCCTGTTGTGTGAAAGAGGGAAGTGCTGTCAGCAAAATGAGAATAACTCTTGATAATTATTATGCATTTAAGCTTGTTGCATTGCTTTGATATGCTGTGAAAATACAGTACAACCCTGATCTTTTTAACCTTTGAGAAATGGCATTGTTTGTATCTTTGCACAAAAATTAGATGACACTTTTTAAAGTATTTTCAAATACTAGGATAAACATGAAGCCCAAACTTCTTCATGGTCATTTAAAAAAAAATCCAAACTTCTGCACGATTTTAAGTTAAAAGATAATGGTCTTAAGGCTAACAACAGGCAAATTCTAGGCATACGATCTCTAGGTCTCTGAATTTCTCCGGTTCAATTGACAATAATCCTTGCATTTTGATATAGCGCTTTTCACGTCGGGAGGACGTCCCAAAGCGCTTCACAGAACACACTGTAAAGTGAATTGACTGTATATTTGTGGGCGAATGCGGCAGCCAATTGCGCACAGCAATGTCCCACAAACATTCATGGATTAAAAATGACCAATTTATTATTGTTTTTGGTTTTGGAGGGATTATTATTAGGCTCTGTGTGGAGTAAGGAAACTTGCCCAAGGTTTCGCCCTCTGCCTGGAATTGAACTCAGGTCTCTCGCTTGCAAAGCGAGTGCTCTAACCACTGAGCTACAGGACTCCACATTAGGAGTATTAGACATTTACATGAAATCGTTTTGCCAAGTTTAAGAATTGTACCAAATACAAAATTAATACATTTCTGGGAACTAGGAATTTCAGGTAAGACTATATCTGAATACTGTGCGCAGTTTCAGGCACCCTGCCTTCTATTTTAAAAAGTACTGGTTTATTAGAAATGGTTCTGAAAAAAATGACAAGGATAGTTATAAAACATAGGGCTCTAAGTTGTGAGGAGAGACTCGCACAGCTGGACTTGTTTTAGTTGTAGAGAAGACAAATAAAGTAAAGACAGGTAAAAAGCCTCACAAGCGAGAGGACCCAGGTTCGATTCCCAGGCAGGTGAAATCTTTGGCTCACCTATAATAGGCTGCTTGATAGGAAAGAGTCAGTAAGTGTTTCAATAACTGAAGGATGTACAGTATTAATGTCACCCGTCAACTTTGGCACAAACTACTCATTCTAAAGAAGAAGAATGTTAGTTGATTGGCGAATCGCTTTTCCAGGGTTAATAATCCCTTCAAAAAAATGGGGTCAGTCAATCCATGATTGTTTGTGGGACACTGCTGTGTGCAATTGGCTGCTGCATTTCACCACAAAATATTCAGTCAATTCACTTCATAATATAATCCGTGAAGCGCTTTGAGACGTCTCGAAGACTTGACAAGCGCTACATCAAATGCAAGGATTACTATTACAATGAAAAGAACACAAGTTTACTGACAATGAGGACATCAAATAATGGGATTTTGTATCATAAAAAATGTAATAAAAAATAGCTAGTTTTACATATAGTCTCCAATAAACTTATTGGAAAAGGCTATTACAGACCATCTGGTTGGGCTCATTTTCAAATATCATCTCTCTCTATCTAACATATCCCCCAATCTCGTTTACTGTCAGGAAGTTATCCAATTCTCTCTTGAAACCAACCACTACATCTATCTCCCTGGGCAGACTGTAAGTTTTATCTCTAATTTTGTAATAGCTGTCATGAAATGGAATAACAAACTCAAGGTAGCAATTTGAATTGTTTTTAGCCTAGATTCTCGTTTATTGAGACCTAATTAGCCTTTGGAAATCAAATGAAGATTTCCTCGTCAGACACACACTCACATTTACCTGGATTGGATTTTAAAAAGCAGTTACAAAGTCGTCTAAAACAGATGAGAAGTCCAAATGGCATTGGATAGAAACAATCCATTCAAAGGGACAAATACAAGCAGTTTATTCTTAAAGAGAATCCTCTGCCAATTGT